TCTGAATTTGATGTTGACATATGTATTAACAAAGGCTAATAATCGGGCATCACATCAATAAAAAACATGAATTTCTTTCAAAAATTTATTTTAAATCCATACGTTTCGGCTATAATCCTAGCCTTCATTCAGTGGAAACTAAAAATAAAATTAAAAACTAAACAATTGAATTAGAGTGAAAAGAAAAATAAAATAGTAAATAGTACTTAAATTAGTTGATCTTAGTGTTAAATTGGAAAATTTTAATAATCCATGGTATTAGGATATGGTAATGCACTGCACTATGTATTATAAATATTAACTTGAAATTACACAAATTTTCACAAAATACTGATTTTAAAAATCATTGGAAAATATTGTGTAATTTCAAGTTAATGTTTATAATAATCATAGTGTAGTGCATTACCAGATCCTAATACCATGGATTATTAAAATTTTCCAATTTAACACTAAGATCAACTTAATTGTAAGTACCAATTACTATTTTATTTTTCTTTTCACTCCAATTCAATTGTTTTAGTTTTTAATTTTATTTTAGTTTCCACTGATGAAGGCTAGGATTATAGCCGAAACGTATGGATTTAAAATAATTTTTTTGAAAGAAATTCATGTTTTTTATGATGTTATGCTCGATATTAGACTTTGTTAATATATATATATTATTATATATATATATATATATATATGCACTCATATCTCAGTACTGTGTCACAGATGTATGTGCACTGACACTATGTCGATATATGATACAAATGTCGAATGCATATGCACATGTGTTATGCATAAATACGCACCACCACACACACAGATATATAATATATATATATATATATATATATGTGTGTGTGTGTGTATGTATGTATGTATATGATACATACATGTAACATATGTATATGTATAGTCCAATAAAAATAATATATTAAATTAAGAAGCGTGTAATATATATGAATACCATAAAGTGCTTTTATAATATTTCAATAAAGTTATGTATTGAGAAGGTGAATTTATTCAATGATTGGCTAAAGATAGATTTTTTCACTCAAAATTATTAGACCACTATATACATATATTTTTTAATAAACAATTTATACATTCATATATTCATATGAAAATTAGCCTTTCATACATTTTCTATGAAAAAAAACACATTTTTTAAAAACCAATCTAGTTTTGAAACTAAGGCCTATGAATACTATGACATTTTGTCTAGCCGTCATACAAAAACACATGAGGTGAGGAGAAACAAAAATTTAAAATAAAGGAAACTACGATAACAATTCAAAATAAAATTATCTCATTTTGTTATATTATTGTTTCCGTAATTTTAAATTTTAAGATGCTGAGGAGTGAATTATTATTTGTAAAAAAAAAACATGTAAATTATAGGATTTTATATATTTAGGTCGATCAGTAGAGCTTTATTTAATATAAAGATTATACATTGTAAAAACAATTACATTTTATAAATGTGTTATCAAACTAAGCATATAAATAGTATATAGGGATTAATTAATTGGTATTAACCAAATCGTACTTTATAATTTGATGACAAATTAATAAAAAAAATATTCAAGAATTTATTTTGTATGTATTTATATTATTGCAATATTTGTAGTTTTGTTACACCATATTTATTGAAGCTATTTGTGTTTAAATTTGTAAATTCTATTTCATAGAAGCGTAATTTTTATGCTTATAAGTTTATTTTTAAGATGGTTTTATTATTAGCATGCAGACTTGAAGGTACCTCTGTGTGTTTGCATGTGCCGCCTTATCATGAGGTAAGTAGATTCTTTAGTTAATAATAAAAGATAAGGTTATATACATATAATTGCATAATAATAATAAATGGTAGTCTGCTCGAAGGCAGGCCCATGGTATGAGAGCACTACAATCAATAATTCCCTTTCCCACCCTTATCTATTATTACCATTACCATTACTTTTTTATTCACTCTTGTGCATTTTTCTTACCTTCTGTAACTTCTACTTTTATGCTTTCTGGTCCTATGCTTTGGGTAACGTAGTGTAATATAATGTAACTCTGTATTTTCTTTTCTAGCGTAAGTCAACAATCATCTGCATTCTTCTTCTTCCCAATCCTATTTTATTTTTATTTTCGATGACGTCATGTAGAAGGTACTTTTTTGCAGTATGGGTTTCTAGTGTCCTTATCTATTAATGATCGTGCTCAGTAGAGTTCTTTCTTTGTTGACTCTTCTTTGTTAGAGTATTTTTTTCATTTTTTAGCTTACCTGTCCACTTTATTTTTCCCCATTCGTCTCCAGCACCACATTTCAAAACTCTCCCAATAGTTTTTGTCAGCTCTGGGGACGTCTGTTAATCACTTGATCGATGTTTAGGGATTTTTGGACCACCTAACATCACGTGTTTTTTTAGTACCTATGAAAACGTTATAAATTTTTGGAAATTTTTCCAAAAATTTGATCTTTTTTAAATTCAGGTAAAAAAATAAATACACGCGTGATGCATTACTAGAACTACCCTCCTTACACGTGATATTTCGTGATTTTTTTTTTTTATCAAACCCCTCCCCTCTTTTAGCCGCACGTGATCAATGGACTCGCTCTTTTTTAGTCTTTAGACATAACACTTTTACATAACACTTTTTACATACACGCACACACACACACACACACACAAACACATATATATTAATATATATATATATATAGGGCCGGATTTAGAAATTTGGCGCCCCGGGGAACTGACAAAAATGCCGCCCCATCCCTGAAATTTTGCGAACTTTTGAACTTTTTTGAAGCAATCGCGCTGCTTCACCTGCGTATGGACAAAATACAGAAGCGCGTAAGCGCCGCGTCGCAGTCTAAAGGATAAACAATGTTGCAGAACGCATATAAATGTAAACGAAATTTATACTTATTATTATAATATCTTTAAAATGTCTGATAATTTAACGTCTTATGATCACTTTTGTCCGCCAAATATTTCTTTTTCAATTTTTTTTATTGGATCATCGAAACCGCTAAACCTGCCCTCCACAAATTTAAGCAATTATTTCTTCTGTAAATTTTTTTGAATGATATTGGACGCTTTTTTTCTCAAAAACTGAATTATCATTTTTGGCATTTTGGCCCGTATCTTCAAAACAGTTGGACCTGCCTTGGCCAATTACTAATCAGCACTTGAATTGAATCATTTAAATCGGTTTATCCGTGTTCTTAAAATCGACTTGAGTAATTAAAAAATATTAGATTTGTATTGAAGGGGAGACGTGCTGATTAGCTTTTAGCACAGGCAATTACGAAAAATGGTAATTTTCGTAATTATTGATATTTCTTTTCTGACACAGCTACGCAGCGCGATTGCTTTGCAAAAATTCCTGGATATATGATTTATGCGAGAGTTAAATTAAATACACAAAACGTATATTATGTGATACGTTATGATAAAACCGTATAGAATTTATGCAACCGTTTATAATTTCCTGATTTCGCTACTAAAGTGATAATGATAATGTAATATATCTGAATCGATGTTTTAATGGAAATCTCTCTCACAGATTTGGATCGCCTCGACCACGACTTTTGTTTGGTTCCCGGTCCATATGCGCAACAATTCTCGTGTCGCATTCGAATAAGATACGCCTACGGGCGTCTCCGCTAAAGACGGCGGCTCGGCCAACGCTCGAATTCCTCTTGATCCTGCGGACTACTTGCGCTTGCGATGCGTCACCGGGCGTCGGAGAGGTGAACGGGTCCAATGCAGAGCGCGTGATGTCATTACCAGACGCAAATAAGAAATGCACTACCATATTAGGCATTCAATCTGAAAGTGACTCTGCTCAAAACGGCAAGTTTTATTCATATATATATAAATATATACATCCGCGCGCACCCCCGCAATAAAAGTGACACGATTCAAAATTTCTCAGATGTGACTTTAAGTGCGCATTATATTCCAATTAGATTAATCTAGAACTCTGAAAATTATCATAAGCTAACTTTCCGTAGGGTAAGTTATTGTAATCGTCCAAAAATTGAAAATGATAATTTTTGAATATCTTTACGTTTCAGTGATTTATGGATATTTTGGCATACCTTACAAAAAATAGATGTACGTGTGTGTATGTATGTGTGGATACAATTTTTCGTTGACGATTTCGGGCGTACGAATAAAACCGATATAAATGGTTCAAAAAGCAATCGATTCCTATTGATAGGGAGACGTGCTGATTAGTTTTTGGGAAACGTCGATTCAACCGTTTTGGAAAATTAAATAGTTTTTGAGGGAACAAAGCATCCAATTTGAATGCTTAAAAAAACATTCTATTCGCGATGATGCGGAGAAGTTATTTTGTTTACATTTATATCTTGATAGTTAATCTGAAGACGGAAAACCATCTAAAATGAACAAATTGTAGCAGAAGGCTTTTCTATATTTACTAGTAATGCCGTAGTTTCCAACCTGCAGGTCGCGTTTACTCAGGAGGGTGAGAGGCTTTTACAGGGGGAGGAATGATACTAGTTTCGAATATAAACAAAAAAAAAAAATGAAACGACGTAAAAAATGAACGAGAAAATAATTATATTTTATTCATTTGGACAGAAGGCTTACGTGGAAAAATCATATAATGAAAAAACGTTTCCAGCTTGAAGAGAATTTTAAAAAACTTTACTGGCTGTTGGGTACGAAGTCCAAACTATCCACCTACAATAAGCTTCTTCTATACAAAGTCGTCTTAAAACCAATCTGGACTTACGGCATTTCACTCTGGGGTAGTGTCAGTCGATCTAATATAAACATCTTACAGAGAGCTCAAAACAAGATCCTTAAAAAAATACTGGAGGCTCCCAGGTATGTACCTAATTGGCTCGTTCATCAGGACTGCAATATACAAACAATAGCGGAAGAAATTAGCAGATTTGCTGCGAAATATAAGTCAAGATTAGAGAACCATCCAAATGAACTGGCAAAGGACCTACTTTCTGCGAACACTGTCAAGAGACTAAGAAGATTAGATCCACTAGACTTAGCATAGTTATATATTTAGTATAGTGCTTGTAATTATTCTCACATATTTATATTTATTATCTGCTTGCAGCTATTGTCACATATTTGTATTTATTATACTAACTTGAAATATTACCAATGGGTAGTATTTTAAAAACTTATTTAATAACTAATCACAACAATTACTGAATGCCTTCTCAGGCAGTTGTAATTTAGATGGTAATAAAAAAAAAAAACTAGTGGGGTGGGTGGCATCGTGCCTTAAGGCAAATTGCTGGAACTTCCCGTACCGTAACCAAATGTTCGAGGAATACTGAATGTTTTCAAATAGATTATTATAAATATTGTAACATTGTCTAATATTTATAAGAATTATATAAACTGAATTGCAAAGTTGAAATTATTTGTTTAAAGTATATTAGAACTATAGTCAGAATTAAAAATAAAATCTGAATTATTTTCGATTTACAAAAAATTTAAAAAAAAAAAAAAAAAAAAAACGGAACAAAAATTTTTTTTTCAAAATTAATTATTTTGTTAAGACAAGCAGAAAGTTCTTTGAATCATTCAAATCGGACGCTTAGTTCTCTCAAAAACTGCCATTTTTCACATATTTAGCTCCGTATCTTCGAAATGGCTGGGCCTGCCTTTGCCAAAAACTAATAAACACTTCTCCCAATCATTACTAATTGAATGTTTTTTAGATCATTCAAATCGGATACTCCGTTCTCTCAAAAAGTCGATTTTTATTTTCTGCACTCTTTGCTCCGTATCCTCGAAACGGCTGGACCTGCCTTTTCCAAAAACTAACCAGCTCTTTTTCCTATCGATAGGAATCGAATGCTTTTTGAACCATTCAAATCGGTTGATCCGTTCGCCCGGAAACGTGACTGGAAATTTGTATCCATACATACATACACACACACACACACATCCATTTTTTCTGAGGTATGCCAAAATGTTCAGAAACCTTCAAAACGTCGAGAAATGTAAAAATTTTCAATTCCGATTTTCGGCCCATTACAATAACTTACCCTACGGGAAGTTGAAAAAAAAAAATTTATTCATATTGTTACATAATAATGCATATTAATTTGAAGTCTGATAATATCAGTTGTGTATTTAATTTATGAAATAAAATTGTTGAAAAAATTAAGAGAGACGCGACATTTTTTTTTATTATGACGGAGGGTTATATATATACATATATATACATAATATATATATATATATATATATATATCCAGTAAATCACAAAAGTTAAATTTTCGTAGCACTTGCGTAGAAAAACAGCTCCTCAGTCAACGTCCAGAAATATTGAGGATAATAAAGACGCTATATTCAATTACAGTTATTTAATTTTGCGGTTTGAATTAATTTTATTTCTGCATATAATCTTATAGTATTTGTGTAGTTTATAAAAAAAACAAGCCCACGTTATCATACGAGTACGTAAATGTACATCTGTCGCCATACTCTCGCAATATGACCAATTTGTTGGAAAACCAATGGGTCACGTATGATGATTGACTGACGAATTGATTATTATTGTTATTTGACATATACTATTCAAGCAATTTTAACCTTGGTTTTTATAACAGTTGTCAATGTGTCATACTTCAATTTCAGCAAGTCTTCCTTGTAGAGCATTAGAACTTACAACTGAACGAATTTTCATGCGGTATTGTAATAACATTTTGTATAGTAATAACAAAATGCATATTACTTTTATTATCCATACATATCATTATAAAATTCATATTAGTACATGAGTTGCATCAACTGCTTTATTTTGTAATCTCTAATCGTTAATTGCATTTATTTTTGGAATATTGTACTTATTGCATTTGTTCAATTTAATAAGACATAGATATTATTCATTTAATTCTTTATTTTGTGATTATTTATAAAAACCTTTTCTGGATTTGATTAATGATTATTAATAAATAATATTTGTGTAGAACTTTTGTAAAATACATCTTACATTTTTGCTGCAAATTTACGGTAATTTTTGCAACCACGCGTTGCTGTGACAAGTTTCTTTTTTTTACGAACAAATATGGAAACAAGTTGCTTTTATACATTGTGCGTGGGTTTTATGTTTCTTTTTTTTAAAAAAAATATTCTTTCTTCCGAGGAAGAGTCAAACTGAGGCTCAGGATGTATGGACATCCATTAAATTCCTTTAGAAAGATAATTTAGTTTTTATTTCTAATATTTATATGTATGCTTTTGAAAAAGCTATTTTATTATTAACAAAGTATTTCATTATAATTTAAATTATTTTACCGAGTATTAAAATTTCTGCATGAATTTATTACTTATAATTATTATTAATGAAATATTTTATTTTTATATATAAATAAATGATATTCATTAAGCTTATTTGATTAATAATAAATATATATATATATATATATATATATATATATATATATATTAGGGTAGTCCTTAATATGAATATTTTCGAATTTTATGCTCGCAGGGGCTCAAATGCTTCCAAATTCTTAAAAAAAATCACTGAAAGTTTTAGCTCCTAATATTAACTTTGGGATAGTTCGCACTTCAAACAATGAAGTATCTTGGTTCTTCTTCCTAAATAAATACTTATTTTATAAAATATATTAAATTTTTGTTATATTTTTTTTATTTATGATTAGAATAAGCAAATACATTGTTATTCTGAAAATTTTTATTCACTTGTCGCTAAGTTACAAAATTCTAAACGACAAGTGCGGACTATCTTAAAGTTAATATTAGAAGCTAAAACTTTTAAAGAATTTTTTTTTAGAATTGGGAAGCATTTGAGCATCCATATTAAAGAGTCTTTAATTTAATAAAGACCACCCTAATGTAAATCATATATTAGTTTTTTTATTTACGTTTTATATTTCGGGTTGGAGTCTTGGAGTTTTTACCCTTCTCTAAGAAATTTCTAAAAACACTGCATTTTAAAACAAAGAAAGTATTTTTTTTAATAAAAACTAAAACTTCGTCTAAATTAATGAATCCTAAAGTATATTATTTTTATTCTTATATGATTGTTTTTTAGTTGTGTGCACCTTCGATCAATGGCCTTGTGTGTAGGTCGCACCGGTAATTTGTTTCCAAAGTTTGTTTTCGGCACGTTATTTTTTTGTTTCGTTTTTTACATGTAATCAAATAAGATTCGTATCGCACTTTATATTCAAACGTAAATGTATTGTGTATTGTTTTATAAAATTTGTTTGAACAATTTATTAAAAAAACTAGTGGGGTGTATGGCATCGTGCCTTAAGGCAAATTGCTGGAACTTCCTGTACCGTAACGAAATGTTCGAGGAATACTGAATGTTTTCAAATAGATTATTATAAATATTGTAACATTGTCTAATATTTATAAGAATTATATAAACTAAATCGCAAATTTAAAATTATTTGTTTAAGTTATATTAGAAATTTAGTCAGAATAAAAATAAAATTTGAATTATTTTCGATATACAAAAAAAATACATTTTTTTTTCCAAAATCTATTGTTTTGTTAAAACAAGCAGAAAGTTCTTTGAATCATTTAAATCGGACGCTTAGTTCTCTCAAAAACTGCCATTTTTTACATATTTAGCTCTGTATCTTCAAAATGGCTGGGCCTGCCTTTGCCAAAAACTAATAAACACTTCTCCCAATCATTACTAATTGAATGTTTTTTAGATCATTCAAATCGGATACTCCGTTCTCTCAAAAAGTCGATTTCTATATTCTGCACTCTTCGCTCCGTATCTCCGAAACGGCTGGACCTGCCTTTGCCAAAAACTAATCAGCTCTTTTCCCTATCAATAGGAATCGAATGTTTTTTGAACCATTTAAATCGGTTGATCAGTGCGCCCGAAAACGTGACTGGAAATTTGTATCCATGCATACATACACACACACATCAATTTTTTTTGAGGTATGCCAAAACGTTCAGAAACCTTCAAAACGTCGAGAAATGTAAAAATTTTGAATTTCGATTTTCGGCCCATTACAATAACTTACCCTACGGGAAGTTAATTAATGGTGTACACTGTACAGCATCGTGCCTTGAGGCAAATTGTTGGAACTTCCCGTACCGTAACGAAATGTTCGAGGAATATTAAATGTTTTCAAATAGATTATTATAAATATTGTAACATTGTCTAATATTTATAAGAATTATATAAACTGAATTGCAAAGTTGAAATTATTTGTTTAAAGTATATTAGAACTTTACGCAGAAATAAAATTAAATTTGAATTATTATCAATATACAACAAAAAAAAAATTGAAAAAAAAATTGAAACAATTTTTTTTCCAAAAGTAATTGTTTTGTTGAAACAAGCAGAAAGTCTTTGAATGATTCAAATAGGACGCTTAGTTCTCTCAAAAACTGCTATTTATTGCACATTTAGCTCTGTATTTTCGAATGGCTCTCCCATCATTACAAATTGAATGTTTTTTAGATTATTCAAATCAAACACTTCGTTCTCTCAAAACCTCGATTTGTACTTTCTGCACTCTTTGCTCCATATCTCCGTAACGTAACGGCTGGGCCTGCCTTTGCCAAAAACTAATCAGCACATCTCCCTATCAATAGGAATTGAATGTTTTTTGAACTATTCAATCGTTGATCCGTGCGCACGAAAACGTGAACGAAAAATGCGGACACACATCCATTTCTTCTGAGGTATGCCAAAATGTTCAGAAACCTTCTCAAAACGGGAAGAAATGCAAAAATTTTCATTTTCGATTTTCCCATTACTATAACTTACTCTATGGGAAGTTAATCATGAGAATCGTGTATTGTTTGCGGAATTCTTATAAGAATTTCTTCTAAAATAATTTTCTAAATTATCTTTCCAAATTTATTATACCTATTTTTTGTTATAGTTGTTTTAATAATTTTTAATTTTGATGAATATTCCAATTTTCAAAAACTATTAAAATTTTCACAATTACTTGAATATTAAAAATTATAAAAAGCACTAAAATTTCTTAAATTACCAATCAAGTTTATCAAAAAAAATCAAAAATTCCA